CCTTACGTCTCTCTCACCCACAGCAAGCCTTCTGGTGTCTGGTTCAGATCTGTGAGAAGTACCTGCCCGGCTACTACAGTGAGAAACTGGTGAGTGCTCAGCTGACATGGGACCTGTGCCAGGCTGGACGTCCACTGTGGCCCTTCTCTCTAGAATCCTCTAAGCCTGCCAGGGGCAAGCCTCTTGGGCACTGGCATCTTTGGTTCCACACTCACCTCCGTCTCTGTCCCCAGTAACTCTGGCCACTTGGTAGGGTTGAAGTTCCTTCCAGGCACCGAGTTTCTCTTTGCCTCAGCCTTGGCTTACACCTCTCCTTGGAGCTCCATTTCCTTCTCCTTCCCGTGAAAACTCCTGTTTTTCCTCAGCTTTCAGCCCAGGGTAGCTTTCCTGGATCCTGCCAGCTGGGATCCTTTGTAACCTGTGCTTAGAGTGTTCTCATACCTGCCACGCCTAGGGCACTCACCCCTTCACCTCTACCCAGGGCAGGGCCCCTTTGCATTGTAAGCCTGTGAGGGGGACCGGCTGTATCTGATTGGCTCGTGCCTGTGTCTCAGCACCCTGCAGGCAGCACCTACCTGATAAATGAATAAATGTCTATCTGGTGCTAGGAGCCCTGTAGGTGCTCATGACTCTGTGTCTCCCCAGGAGGCGATCCAGCTGGATGGTGAGATCCTCTTCTCATTGCTGCAGAAGGTGTCACCAGTGGCTCACAAGCACCTCAGTCGGCAGAAGATAGACCCACTACTGTACATGACAGAGTGGTTCATGTGTGCCTTCGCACGCACCCTGCCCTGGAGCTCTGTGCTGCGCGTCTGGGACATGTTTTTCTGTGAAGGTACCAGGCCGGACTGGGGAAATGCCAGAGAACCCCCCAACAGGCTTGTTTGCACTCACCACCTGCCCTCCATGCAGGAGTCAAGATCATCTTCCGGGTGGGGCTGGTGCTGCTGAAGCATGCGCTGGGCTCTCCTGAGAAGCTCAAAGCCTGCCAGGGCCAGTATGAGACCATCGAACAACTGCGGAGCCTCAGCCCCAAGATCACGCAGGAAGCATTTCTGGTCCAGGAGGTGCGGCCCACATCTGCCTCTTACCATGGTGGGGAGGGAGGCCTGGTAATGCCCTGCCCACAAAGGTGAGTTATCTGTGCCAGGTCCACTGCTTGGCAGCCCAGGACAGCAGGTGGACCTCATCCTCCTGTCTGGGTGAGGAGGACAGGGCACAGAGAGGCCGCAGTTTACAGGCCTTCCCTATCTAAGCCGCTTGGGAGCTTGGTGTGCTAACTCTCCCTTGGTTAGCACACCAAGTTAGCACACTCTCCTTGGTCCTGCAGTCATTGCCTTGGCTTTGTTTTCTGTTGTGGATACCTGACTCTCCAACTGTAGGGAGGTAACACATGCATGGGCAGCTTCTGGGAAGCCAGGCTGGGCCAGGGACGATGCCGGAGTGCAGGGCAGAAGCAGGTGGCCTTTTGTGCCCTTCTCCAGCAGCTGCTGAGAGCTGTGGCATTATGCCTACTTCACACATGAGATGGAAGCTCCCACAGGCACACACAAGAACACACAAGGCCCTTCCCCCTACTCAGTAACCAACTGGAGTCTGTGGTTGTGCTGGGCAGTGGGATGTACTGGCTGAGAATGGGTGTTGCCTTGTCTGAGCCTCACACCTTTGTCCAAAAAGTAAGGCAAGTGGACCTGTGAGTTGTGGGCAGTTTCTTCCCCTGAGGCAGTGGGTCTGTTGTGTCCAGCTCACCAGGCACTCCACTCTGGGACCTGTGGCCACAGCTTAGGAGATCTCCATCCTTCCTGAGGCCAGGGCAAGTAGGGACCCAGGTTGGGGGTGTGGCAAAGGGAAAAGTCATTCTTAGTGCTCATCTCCCTCTAACTGCCCTGCAGGTGGTGGAGTTGCCTCTAACAGAGCGCCAGATTGAGCGTGAACATCTCATTCAGCTGCGGCGCTGGCAGGAGACCCGGGGTGAACTGCAGTGCCGCTCCCCACCCAGGCTGCATGGTGCCAAGGCCATCCTAGATGCAGAGCCTGGACCCCGGGGTGCCCTGCAACCTTCACCGTCCATCCGTCTGCCCCCAGATATACCGCTTCCCAGCTCCAAGGCCAAGGCCAAGCCACTCAAGCAGGCTCAGAAGGAGCAGAAGCAGACAAAAGCAAGTGGGCATCTGGACAAGCTCCCAGCCCCCAGTCAAACCACAGCAGTGACCGCTGCAGGAGATGCAAGCGCCCCACAGAATGTGACTCTGAAAGACCCAGCTTCCCAGGGTCCAGTCTGCCAGGACTCAGCTCCTCAGGACTTAGCTCATCACTGCTCCCAAGAGAGCCTGACCTCCCAAGAGAGTGAGGACACCTACTTGTAACCCAGCAGTGGGCCTCCGGGCGGGGTCTCTCCACACCTACCTGGTTAGAGGACTGGCACTCCAGGGCCTGCTTACCTGAAGGCCCAAATGCTTGGCCACTAAGCTGGGACAGAGTCTGGCTGGCCCAGCACAGATTCTGCCTGAGTCTCTTTATTTATTTTCTCTATAGAGTGGACCTCAGGCTGGCCCACCCAGCGCAGGCAGAAGCTAGGGCCAAGAGGGTGGGGCCTCACTCAGCGCCCTTCTCCTGAGGATGCTTCCTAGGGATAGGGTGCTGGCATGAGGGGAGTATGTGACGTGCTCTTTGTGTAAAATAGATACTTCGTTTTGTACAGAAATAAACAGGCTTGTGTAGAGAGCTGGTGTGCAGCTAGGGTTGGGAAAGGGCTGCTGTCTTGGTGCTCAGCGTGTCTATTCCATACCCTGCAGAGGTGTTCCTGGGCCCAGCCCAGCGTAAGCCCCTTTGAGAAGTGCTTTTGGCAGAGGGGTTTCCAAGCCCAGGGGCCAGCCTCTGTCTCTTTTCTGTCATTTTTCCTCTCCCCATCCCTACTGCTCCATGTCCACCCTCTGCTATGGATTAGGGACACTAGGGCTGGAACCCACTGTCCAGGCCTTGCTCCCTACTCATCCCTAAGGGGGGGCGGGTTGCCGAGGAGATGGCTTCAGGCTCTTTCCCCTCCAAGGCCCCACTTGGCTTCTAAGTACTCATTCTGGATTAGGAGCAAGGCTCCCTGAATGTCTCACATGCTCATGGCAGGCAGGTGGGTGAGGGGAGGAAGTCTGTGTCCTTGATAAAATGCTGCCTTCCATCCCCTGAACACTCACCATGTGCCGTGCTGGGCTGGTTATCTGACAGGTAAAAACAGGAGCTGAATGGGAACCCACCCCACAAGAAGAGCCCCGCTTTCACCGAGCCCCGCACTCAGCTTCCCCCGATCAGGTGACCTGACTCTTCCACTGAGGGGCCAGGCAGATGCTTGGTCACAACCTGATGACTAGCAAGGGTGAGGACAGGGTGTCCCTGGGAGAGGCCCCCCTTCTGCTGAGGAAGCAGCTTTTCCAGTCAAACAATAGCTGCTGTTCCTGGCAGGAGACCAAGCTGGGCCTAGGCCACAGGGGGAGGGTGCCGGGGAGTGAGGGGGAGCAGCAGAGCTCCCTGTGAGCTTTGAGGCATCTCCTGAGCCTAGGGCACTGTGTTCTGGTACAGCTGGGGACACTGAGGCCTGAGAAAGTGGTCACAGGAGACTCAGGACAGACCAACTGCTTCCTGCCCTCTGTTCCTCACTCTGTGGCTTCCCACCCTAACCCCTACCTGCCATGGAGGCAAGGGCACAGTCTTTGAGAAATACTCCTCCTACCCCCAGTCCTCCAAGCGACAGGCCAGGATGGGCGGCCGCACAGTGCTCCACGGGAATCCCAGGAGGTCAGGGATGAGGCTTAGCCAGGCTTCCATCTGTTTGTGACGGCTCCAGAGCAGGCGGGTCCCATCACGCCTGAGGTCTGCCTACCCTACTTGGTTCAGAGCCTTGGATCTGAGGCCTAAGGATGCTTGGGCCAGATCAGGGCCCTCTGGAGCATGCTTGGTCCTGCCATGGAGTCAACCTGAGCTTGCTGATGCCTGCTCCGTCTTGGAGTCTTAGACCTGCAGGAGGGTGGATAAGATCTCAGTGTCTGCCAGATGGGGGACTCCCAGGGCCTGAAGCCACTTCAGATGTGCTGAGGCCAGTTGGGTTCTGCTAACCACCACAGGCTTTGGGGCAGCCTCGGAGGAGCTCAAGTCTCTGGCCTGAGGTCTGAGCACCCAGTAAGGCTGACTGTATGGTCCTGCCCCTCAAAGCCTGGGTCCTGAGCATCCTAGCCCAAGCACTTGGGTTGGTTTGTATTGGGGGAGCTCAAGCCAGAGGCTCAGACCACCTTCAGTGCCCTACCTCACCGAGTTGCTCAGACCACCTTCAGTGCCCTACATCAGCGAGTTGCTCAGAAAGCGGTGGCTAGGACCCGCATCTCTGTAAGGCTAGGCGCCTACAATGGAACTTGAGAAAATCAGGGCCACCTAGGCCTGGTCGGCGCCCACTCCCAGTACCAATCCTGGGCACCCTTTGCCTTGGGGATGCCACCTCAGTCAGCTCTGGCGGCCCTGCCCCCGCAGAGCCATTACAGCAAGGACGGAGAAAGGCACCTGGGGAGCAAAACATAGGGTCACTTGGGCTGCACTGCCGGCTTCAGCCCCTCCACGCTCCAAGGGCTCGGGCCAGAATTCCGGTCCCAGCGCAGGTCCGGTTCTTGTGCAGGCCCTTCTCAGTCTTAAGGACTTCATTCCACCCACGTGTGTACCTGAAGGACGAACGTGAACCCTGCTTCCGGTACGCCCCAAACCCAGGGCAGCGTGAGTCCGGCGGAAGGGCGGGGCCGAGGAGGGGGCGTGGCAGGGCGGAGCCCGGAGGGCTCCAAAGGGTTAGGGTCTGGCGGTGGTTCCTGACCCAGGGCTAGTAGGGTGGAGCCTTCCGGGGTGGGGCTAAACGAGCTGGTGAGCAGCGGGGAGGATTCCGGCCGCTGGAAGGAGGCGTGGCCACTTTGCATTGGTCCTGGGCCTGGCGGGGCGGGCCATCAAAGAGGCGGATGTCTGACTGGGTCCGGGGCTGGACGGGTCCGGGGCGTGGCTGACGGCGTGGACACAGCCGCGCGGCGGCTCCTTTAAATCCCGGGCGCCACCCCGCCGCCCCGCCTCCCGCCTGGGTTTAGCTAGCGGCCGGGACCTAGCCGCGCGAGCCGCGATGGAGCTGCACATCCTAGAGCACCGGGTGCGGGTGCTGAGTCTCGCCCGCCAGGGTCTCTGGCTCTACACCCATCCGCTCATCAAGCTGCTTTTCCTGCCCCGCCGCAGCCGGTGCGCGCCCGGGTTCGGGGGCGCAGATGAGGGTGGGGGTTTTGCTGGTTGTCCAGGTCCGGGTCAGAGGATTAGGACCCCTGCGAGGCGGGTGGAGCGAGAGTTGGCTGTCATCCGGCCTGGGCATATCCTCCCTGGGGCCCACACCTATCCCGCCCAGGGAGGCCCCCTCCCAAGGACCAGTCTAGGCGCAAACAGCGTGGGGTGCGCAGTGCTTCACTCCGAGCCGCGTGAAGTGGGGGCATTCCCACCTGGCTACCGCGGCGAGCTCCTTCCAGATGCCTCCCGTCAGGTCAGAAGGTCCGGCCGAGGGGGCGCACGGTCCGACGCTCCTAAGGCTGCCACCTCGGCTGGGAGCCTCTCCTTCCTCCTGAGGAGGAGCGAGAGGCTCCCGGGGAGGCCGGGAGGTGGAAAATAGTCCTAGGTCTCGGAGACGGGGGCGGGGGAGCACCCCATCGCTCGGGTGAGGAAATAGAGGCCGGGGCCGGGGCCTAGGGCAGGAAGGCGCCCGGCGGGGGGTCCTTTGGGACGGATGGAACGAAGTCCACCCACCCTCTTCCCCAACCCCCACCCGTTCTTCCCGTTCTTCGTCCAAGCTAAGATCCACCCTGTCCCCCACCAGGTGCAAGTTCTTCAGCCTGACCGAGACCCCTGAGGATTACACGCTCATGGTGGACGAGGAGGGCTTTAAAGGTGGGAGTTTGTCTCTCGTGCCCCCCTCTTGACAGGATTATTAGCAGATGCTGGAATCCAGTGTCCCAAGAGTTTGGGTCTTAAAGACGTGGATCTGAGTTCGAATCCTGTTCCACCACTCACCTGGCTGTGTGGCCTTGAGCAGATCACCTCCCCTCAGCTTTTTCCTCTTAGGTGAAATGAATATAATTATGGTGGTGATCTAACAGGGTCCTCGGAGGGGATTTTAAATGTAAAACATGGTAAGAAGCTGTGTGCGGGAGGGCCACTTAACAATCTTTGCTGGTAGGGTTTCTCAGTTAAAGTTTCAGGCACGAGTCAGGGCTCCTGCCGCTGTTTTACCACCCACTCCCCCAGGCTTATTTCCCGTTGTAAGTAATCTCTCGCATGCGGGTCAGCTCCTCTTCTGCTGGTCTGGGAACTCCAGGAGTCTGAGGGTTGGGGGAGGAATGCAGGAGCAGGCAGCCATTCCAGGGCAGGGGCCTGGGGGCCTCCTGCCTGTGGTTGGGTGAACAGCAGCCTCCCTGGCTCCTGCTGAGGACTGGACGCCAGCCTGGTCCCGCCCAGGGCCCTGGAGCTGACATCTGGCTTCCACTTCTACCAGCCTCACAGCCTAGAGTCTCAGGCCAGCCAACGGGAGCTTGGCCTGTTCCCCGACTGCTCCACTCCTGCCTTAGTTTCCCCATTTGTACTTAACTACAGAGAAGTCCGAGGCTGCAAAAGGGGAAGCGCCTCTGCAGAGGCAAACCTGAGCCGCTGGCGCCCCCTGGTGTTGCCAGGTGATGCAATGTCTGTTATCCCGCAAAGGTGTATGTATCATCCCATTTTACAGATAAGGAAACTGAGGCTCGGATGAGGAAACAGGCTCGAATCACTTTCCCCACATCACACAGCAAGTAAAATGCAAAGCCAGGATTTGAATCCAGTTCTGAGTCTGGAGCTCTGATCTTTGCTGCTTCATCCTTGTAGACTTGAGGAACAGAGCTGGGCGAGACGGTCCCAGTCTCCAGACCTGCCCTTACTTTGCTAGAACCCTCCATGAAACAGGCAGGGGAATTCAGGATCAGAGAGGGGCAGGCCCTGACGAGGCGTGTGCCCCCTGCCCACAGAGCTGCCCCCATCCGAGTTCCTGCAGGTGGCGGATGCCACGTGGCTGGTGATGAACGTGTCCTCTCACAGTGGTGGGGCAGTGCAGGCTGCTGGGGTCACCAAGATCGCGCGCTCCGTCATCACGCCGCTGGCCGAGCACCACGTGTCCGTGCTGATGCTGTCCACTTACCAGACGGACTTCATCCTGGTGAGTTTCCCACAGCCACTGGCACTGGCACGAGGCAGGGTGGGCATGGGTGCTAGAGGGAGCCACGTGGTTTGCCATCTGCCCCTGGCGCAGGTGCGGGAGCAGGACCTGTCCGTGGTGATTCACACTCTGGCCCAGGAGTTTGACATCTACCGTGAGGTGGGCGGGGAGCCTATGCCTGTTGCTAGGGAAGATTCCAGCAACGGCTTTCCCCGCACCCAGCATGGTGAGGTCCGCCCCTGCCACTCACACTTGGGGGCCGGTCTTCCTCTTCCCACGGGGGCCCTTTCCTTGCGTGGGCATGACTGTGCGGGGTGGGAGACCAGAAGACACTGACCACTTCTCAGAATGGGACGTGGGGCAGTCGGGAGGGCCCAGGCTGGTTCCTGGAGAGCAGGACCCGTGCCTGGCCCAGGTTTTTCCCCAACTGGCCACCAGGGGTCGCCCCAGCCCATGAGTGCCTTCCACTTGGAGCCCTCTACCCTAGCAGGGCCCAGTCCCACGGTGCATCCCATTCAGAGCCCGCAGAACCGCTTCTGTGTCCTCACAGTGGACCCTGAGACGCTGCCAGCCATGGCCACCACCCTCATCGATGTCCTCTTCTACTCGCATAGGTGTGACCTTTCTCTACACTATTGCCACCTGTGTTCCATCTGTCTCTTCTGCCACCCTGTGCCCCGCCGTGTGTCTCAGGGTTTGTGGCCCGTGAGGCCCATGTGCCCTTCACTGATGTCCAGGGATGGTCCCGACCCTGAAGTTCGGGCCATTCCTGCGGTGTTGGCAGAGCCACCCCTGGGCCCTCTGCCCCTGGGGTCCTTCATCTTTGGCATGAGCAGGGCTCCGTGTCCTCCTCCCCGTTTCCACCAGCACCTTCAGGAGGTCAAGGCCTTGGATGCAGGGGCCTGCCCAGGGCCCCCAGTGCCAGCCTCTTCACTGGGGACTGGAGGTTGGCGCTGCGGAGATGGAGTGGGCAGCGTGCCCTGTAGAGCTTCTGACCCTGCTGTGCTTCCCCAGTGCCCCCAAAGAGGCAGCCTCTGGCAGCCCCGAACCCAGCTCCATCCCATTCTTCGCCTTCTCCCTTATTGAGGGATACATCTCCATTGTCATGGACGCCGAGACGCAGAAAAAGTATGTGACCCCTGACCCTGGGTGGCCGCAGACCCCAGCCCAGCCCCAGGAAGGAAAAGGGCAGGGTGCAGACCCTGAGGCCAGCAGGTGGACCTTCCCCAGGGGCTCCCAGTGGGATGGGGACAGGTGGGGCCATTCTGCCTACCCTCCATTTGCCTGTCCAGGTTCCCCAGTAACCTCCTGCTGACCAGTTCTTCCGGGGAGCTGTGGAGGATGGTGCGCATCGGGGGACAGCCCCTGGGTTTTGGTGAGGGCCGCTCCCTGTGTTGGGAGGTACAGAAGACCTTTGAGGTAACCCTAGTGGCCAGTGTGAGTCACGTGTGTCCCTTCTCAACCCTTAGATGAATGTGGGATCGTTGCCCAGATTGCTGGTCCCCTGGCTGCGGCTGACATCTCTGCCTACTACATCAGCACTTTCAACTTTGATCATGCTCTGGTGAGCACTGTGGGCTGGAGTATAAGGGGTCCTGGAGGGAAACTGAGGCCCAGAAGGGTGAGTGGGTAGGAGGTAGTACCAGCTGGGCCAGGAAGTTGGGGCACTCCTGGCTAGATTCAGCCTTGACCCTCCCTCTGCCCACTTACCCCACCCCTAGGTGCCTGAGGATGGCATCAGCAGCGTCATCGCTGTCCTCCGGCGAAGGCAGGACGGCTTGGGCTCCTAAGGCTGAGAGGGAGCAGAGCTGGTGCCTGGCTCTCTGTCACCATGGACTTCCAGAGACTTCTTTAAGCTATTTCCTCAATCTCTGGTTCCTGCGTGGGGACCCCTTGTTCCGCTCTCTGTACGTAAGCTGCAAGTGGCACTGCTCTCTAACAGACATGTGTGTGCACCTCCAGCTGGAGTGGGCAGGTGCTGCCCATGTGTGTCTGCCCGTGCAGGGAAACACGGTGCTCGGGGCCTACGCCCCAAACTCATCACTCTCTGCGCGGCCTCAGCATTTGCACAGTCCCTGCTTGAGGCCGGAGCCATTTCCCTCTCCCTCCCTGGGGCCTGCTGCCCCCCAGGAGGGCTGCGATCCCTCTGTCTGGCTGGGGTGCCTTCCTGGCCAGGCGAGTTCTGACAGTGCCCCCCTGTCCCACGGCCTCTAAGAAAGGTATTTTTACATCTCTCTCTTCTAATTGAGTATTAATAAAGGACTTTATACTGACCCAGCTGGGTTGTGGTCTTTGGGATTCATTTGAATCTAAGTCTCAGCCGTGGCTGTCTGTTCGAGGTCCCAGTCTCTGCTGTGTAGCTGGCTCAGAGCCTGGCTCACCTCATCTCACTTGCCTCTCATGACAGTGCCCTGGGCCACTGGCGAACCGTCATCTCCAATGACGGTTGGAGCTGTGACATGACTTGGCCAAGGAGTAGGCCGCCCAGGACTGTCAGTCGAGGAAATCTGGCTCCTTTCTGCATTCCTTGCTGCTTCCAGAATAGCCCAGAAGCTTCTGCACAGGAGCAGGGCCCTTCGCCTAGGCCTTTCCTGCTTTGTGGGTGTGGCTGGGTGGCTGTGGAACTTGAAGGAGGGCCTGGGGGCCCCTTGCCCCAGCCTGCTTTCTTTTGGGTCTTGCCTGTGTTCTGCCTGTCTCGACGGCAGAGAGATCGGTGAGTTCTTGCCACCAGGGCTTTCCTAGGGCAGTGGCAGCAGGGGCCTTGCCCACCGGGCTTCTCTGTGCTAAGACATGGGACCAGGAGGACAGAATGGGGGGCCTGGAGGCCGCCTGGAGCCCACTCTGTCTCTGAGGCTGTGCCCCTGGGCACATCTGGGTCAGGTCCTCCTGCCCTAGGGGCCGCCTCCCTGTGAGGCCAGGATTCCCCTTAGTCTGAGAGGGCCCCGAAGATGCACTGGGGTGGGGGTGGGGTTATCAGGTGCCCTCAGTCCACAACCACCCTGCTTGGGAACAAAGAAGGGTGTGACTTCTGTGTACTCAGGTTGTGGTGGCTCCCCAGAAAAGCCAGGACAGAAGCCAGGTCTCTGGCAGTGTGCCCGCCCTGCTCCTTGGGGACCCCAGAGCCGGGGCCTCAGGCTGCAGATCAGATGAGCCAAGAGCGTAGCTTCAGCCCGGTGAGTGAGCGGTGAGGGCCTGGACCCCTTCCCTTCAGCCTCTCTTACCCTGTGTGTGTGGAGACCTCAAAGTAGCTCCTTCAGGAGCCCTGGGAGGGGCTGTTCCTCGGCGTTCATCTGTGATGAGGGTAGGATGGCTGAAGTCCTAGTCCCCTCACTGGAGCGCCCAGTGTGTGGCTGGTTTGGGAAGCACCCAGGCTGGAGGTAGGAGCTTTAGGATTCTTGACGTTGCCCAACCTGCAGCTGGAGTGCCCCTGGCCCCATGACCCACGTGGGGCGTCGGGTTACCTGTGTTAGTCACTGTCTGGTTTGGGTGTTTCTGTCACTGTGGCTACCGAAGGATCTCAGGCCTCACCCAGTCCCTTAAACCAGGCTCCAGCCCGTGCTTGGCTGATTCTTGGGGCTGCTCATGGGCCTGGCCTGAGTGAGGACGCGCACATCTAACAGGCTGGTCTGACTCACACCCAGGCCTAGATGTCAGTGTACCCCTCCCTCGTGTCTAGGCCACGTATCTGAGCGTGTCTGTGTGGAGGGTTTTGAGCTCTCGGGATTAACATCCTTGGGGCTCACAAGGCCAGGGCACAGGGCCGGACCCCACCGTCCAGCACGTCATAGGCAGAGAGGTCCCACCCTGGGTGTGCTGAGATGGAAGCCCCTCGGGGTCAGAGGCACAGGACTTCAGAGGTGCCCCAGGAGTATGACCGAGAAGGGAGGCACCTTTCAGGGCTGTGACCCTCCCTGGGCCTCACGACGGGCCCTGAGCTCACCCAGGCTGTGGTGGGGGCTCAAAGCCCCACCCTCGCCTCAGTTCTCCAGGGGCTCCTGGGGCAAAGGAAACTAGGGGTCAGCCTGGGCCTGGGGTGGGGCTCAATGTGGGTCACTCACCCCTAGGACTGGGGCGCGCTTCTGGGACACAGCTCACGTCCCGCACTTCTCAGTCCTGTTGGTCCCTAACTACCTGTCCGCACTGGCATAGCAGGAGCCTGAGCGCTTGTCCTTGTGATGACGGCAGCTGCTGCCCAAGTGAGCTCTGCCGCCCTCCCTCGAGTAGCTGGAAGTTGATTCCTGATGTTAAAAAAAGAAAACAAACAAAAAAACCCCAAAAAACTGCATGTTCCCCAGATGTTCTTCCAGGCCCCAGGATCCTGCCTGAACAGGAGGCAGGAGGAAGGGACAGGGGAGAGGAGCCCATGGCAGGTGGCGGACTGCGTGAGTACGAGGAAGCTGCTTCCTCCGCCCCTCAATGCCCTCCTCTGTGCAGGGGCAGAGCGTGCCCCTGTTAACTCGTACATTTGGTGTGACCGAAAAATAACGGTGAATGTTAAAAATTTTTAATTTTATTACAGTAAAAGACACACTGCCATTAATCCTCCTCAGAATACTCCTCCTCACTTCAAATATACTTATCCCATCTTTTTGGCCTTGAACTCGTGGCAATCCCCCTGCCTCAGCCTACCAAGTGCTTACAGGCGTGCGCTGCCATGTCCGGCTTAGCCCATCATCCTTGCACCTTCCGAAGCAGTTCTGGAAGTCCTCCTCCAGTGTGTCTTCCATTGCACTGCTGTGGCTGCTGTGATCTTCTGAATCAATTAAAAACTTTAACCTTTCATGGTCATTTTGGCCTTGGGGAAGGGCCAGAGGTGGCATGGTGAATCCGGTGGACGAGGACACACTGTCATGTGTTTATAAGCCTGGATGACACTCAGAAGCAGCATTCACCATGTTTTTGATCACACTTGGTGAAGCCAGAACTGCTTCAGAAAAGAGCAGTGATGGGATAAGTGTATTTGAAGTGAAGGGGAATTTTTTTTTGGAGGGGGAATATTTTGAGGGGATTAATGGCAAAATATATTTTACTGTAATGAAATTTAAAAATTTAAATATTCACAGTATATACATATATTCAATGCAGGCTTTTGTTATCCTCATTTTACACTGCTAAGGATGAAAGGCAGAGAGGTGAAGTGATTTGCCCAAGGTCACACTGCCAGGCCCAGTAGAACCAGAGTTCTGAAAGAAGGTTAAACAAGCCTGCAGAAGCCTGGGGAATTTCCCTGGGGGGAAGAGACACTTTAGCTGAACCCTGAGGGATGGGGAAGGTTTTGCAAGATCCCTTGCAATCCCAGCTGTCTGTCGGTGGCCAGTGGCCGGGTGTCTGCTGCCGGTGGCAACGGATGCGTGGGCAGGCACGCTTGCCCTGGCTCCTCCCTGACCTTGGGCTGGGCAGGGTGGGTGTGTTGGGCAATGGCTGCGGTTTGTGTCTCACTTTCCTCGGAGGCCCCCAGGTTGGGCCTCCAGAGCCGATGCTGCCTCTTATCCAGGTGCTCAGAGATTCCTCCCACAGGGTTACTTGTGTCCTACAGTTGTGTGGATGTGTGCACACTCTGTGTGTGCACAAGCGCCACATGGGTGTGGGCAAGCAGAACTGCACTTGCAGTGAATGTCACATAGAGGAGACTGCACCAGGCACAGTGGTGCACACCCTGTAGTTTCACCTGTAGTTGCAGGCATGGGGCTGAGGCAGGAGGATCTCTTGAAGCCAGGAGTTCAAAGCTAACCCAAGCAACAGAGTAAGACTCTGTCTCTCTCTCTCTGTCTTTTTTTAGCTTAAGTATTTTATTTATTTGCAACTAAGCTTGTTAACACTATACAATGAAAATGTACACAGAATAATGTCGCAGTTTTTGGTTAGACTTAAGTCAAAGACATTCATTAATAAGGACATTAAGACATTAATATTAACATTAAGACATTAACATTAATAAGGACAATAAGACATTCATTCAAAGGAATGTGAACATTCCAGAAATTTCTCTAAACCATCTGATCAGAACATCTGTCTCTGAATATTACCTAACTTTGAAAGGTATTGGCATACATTTGAATTTAACTTAGAATGTTTCAAAATAAGCTGTAATTTTTTTTTTTTTTTTTTTGTCTTTTTGAGACAGGATCTTGCTGTGCAGTTCAGGCTGACCTTGAGCTCACTTTGTAGCCCAGGCTGGTCTCGAACTCGCAACGATCCTCGGCCTCAGCCTCCTGAATGCTGGGATTACAGGTGTGTGCCACCACGCCCAGCAACAAGCCGTACTTTAAAAAACTACCCTATATTCAAACTAAAACAATTAAATTAAATTAAATTAATTAATTAATTTTTTTTTTCCAGTACCAGGAATCTAACTCTCGATCTTGCGCTTGCCAGGCAGGCGCTGTGCCCCTGAGCTAAATCCCCAGCCCAAACTAAAACAATTTTAATAGAACTTTCCTTTCCAGAAACAATAATAAAGGAAATAAGGCATTTTGTACAATGTAAGACCCTGTCTCTTTAAAAAAGCACTGAAAAGGAAAAGAGGAGCCTGTTTTAACAGCAAAGTGTGTGTGTGGGGGGCAACCTGCACGTGTGTGGAAGGCACAGGGTGTCCCCATGTGGCTCTACTTGCACCTCTGTGGTGGACATCTGGGTGTCTGTGGCTGTATGTGCATCTGTGTTGTACGAATGTCAACTGTGACTCTGGCTCTGTCTGCACATGTGTCTGCATGTATGTGTCTGCATGTATGTGCATCTACGCGTGCATCTGTCTGCGTGCATGTGCACGTACAGGTTAGCATGAGAGGCTGTGTTTGTGTATGCCTGTGTTTGTATGTGGCTGGGGCCGTTTTATTTTATTTTGTTTTTGTGGTACTAGAGATGGAACCCAGGGGCTCACACATGCTAGGCAAGTGCTCTACCCCCCTGGCCTACACTCCCAGCCCTATGTACTTTGAGACAGGATCTTGCTAAATTGCCCAGGCTGGCCTTGAATTTGCAATCCTGCTTCAGCCTTCCAAGTAGCTGGGATTACAGGTGTGCGCCACTACACCTGGTTGGGGCTGGTTTTTTAATTAGTGAGAGTGAATGTGCGTGCACGTATGTGTATCTTTCATATTTGTGCGTTCCCATGTGTCCCTCCCGTCCAGTTCTCTCTCCTGGACTCCACCCCCTCTGTCCTCCATCCTCTCCCTCATGGGAGGCGGGCACTGCTGCGCCAGCTGCCTCCCCTGGCCGGCAGAAAGCCCTGTCCCCGTGCTGGCTAGGGCAGCGGAGGCTGGGCTGGTGCCTC